AAACTCCCCCCCCCCCCCTACACTTCCTACAGGCTCTTTGTGGACCCAAAATTGAATTACACAGTTCATCGCAAGAATTTCAATCCACAGATAGAGAGATAGTGCAAGTTGAGTCCGCAGCATACGCTATGGTGCATATGGACTGCAGGGTTGATGGGGTTTTCCAGTACTGAGCTTTCAGCGAATATTCTCGCCAAGTGTTGCTTTCTAATGAAAATTATGAAAACTATTGTGCTAAAACCTTGTCATCGTCATCGTCGCGGTTGTTATTGTCAAATAAAACAGGAAGTGTTCTGCACTTAGCTACTCATTTTAGTACACAGATTTGTTATTGATTGATTCCTCGTTGCACTGTTTCTTGTATACGGCTGAATTGTCTTTGGCTTTCGATAAAATATCCACAGAAGTTTCAGCTGAACTTTTGGACACTATAGTCACTTTCTGATATCAGCATTACTGCTTTCTGCGTACAGACGGTGTTTTCATCTGATTGTGGAATCGTAATTGACGAAAACAGGCATCCCTATGGCTGTATAGCATTCCGTTCCTCCATCGGTCCAAGAACAACCGCGTTGGCATGTGAATACTGCCTAAACTGTCTGGACGGCCCATGAACATCCGATACGAGATTCTACCACTATAAAAACACCGAATCGGAATCACTTGAAGATATTCAAATTAATGGCATCTAGCACAAAACAACTTTTACGAACTCCCCGTTGAAATTTGTGGTCACTTGCATGTCAGCATTCTTTGGGGTGAAACTTGTGATCATGTTACTAGGTGAACTCAGAAAGTGTCTTCATGACTGTCACAACCAACCGATCACACAAAGCAACACACTGCATACACAAAACTCTGGGTTGATCACAGACACGACATTTCAAATGCTTCCGATATCATTCCAAGTGAACCAAAGTACGACCTTTGACATCTATCACTTCACAACGGTCTGAGATCTCAGTTTAGGTTTGAGTTAAGTAAATTGATCCATCGGTAAACGGTCGATTAGCTCTCTTGAGAGCTCTTTGAAATAATCAGTCTTTGACGTTCTCGTCAGTGATCGCTTATCGATGATGTACCACAGGAGAAGAACGGAGTGCATAAACCTGACATCCACAATACATTTGGGGTGTATTTAGGCAGAATTCTTCCATTACCCTGATAATCAATCTTCCATAGATTTGTTTGTTTATCTTGAAGGTATAGTTGAAAAACAATAAATTAATGTTGTTTCAGTCGCTCGCGATTTCGGAGGGAAGTTGATTTTGAGCCAATAAATTAGCACATTAGATTCATTGCTCCTCACACCCGAGTAAGAGCCCACTGGATGCAACGGATACACATTGATGATGATTCTCTTTGAACAGGAGGAAAACAGCTGGGTAGTGTTTTTCAGGCTTCTTGGAGGTCTCGACTGATTTGTTGAATCTCTAGAAATAATCTTTTTTGCGTGAAGGACATAAAGCTCTCGGATGATCTCACATTGGCACTAGGCCATTGAACTGATTATTCGGACTCTGACACGCAATAAGAAAAAGGCCAATATATTCCAGATAATACTGATATCCATTTAGATCTTTCATCGGCACCCCATATCACATGGAGTTTCACAAAACCCCATTCTCAGCTAAAACTCCCGGGTAAAGTTTTCAGTTTCAGTTTTTACAACCATTAACCATGCACTTTCGTGCGCCGGTTTTGG